GGACTTCTTTGGGCAGGCAAATATTTCTCAGCCCTTGAACCTGAGCTGTGCATAGAAAATTATATATTTTTTTCAGGAATATCCTATTTACCATCCTTAGCTGTTACTCATCAATATATTAAACATCCATTTATGTTTTGTATATTTCTAGTATTGTTTACATGCAAATATATAGCTTTAATTTTCATTTTGAAATATGTAATTTGTGTAGCGCTGCTAGCCTACTATTATATATTAACATGAGAGGTTTTATATCACCGGATTTTCATTGGAGCTTCGAACTAACCGAAAGAATTGTCTGTCTAACTTTTTTTCATAGGCCATTGATTTTGTTTTTCTTTCTTGATTGTTACTCCCTCCATTCTCATTTATAAGACACACAACATAACATGACACAGTCTCCCAAATTACACTTTGACTATTTATTTATTTTACTTTATATTATTATACTTATAAACTTATAATAATTGACTAATAGGATGGTATGACAAATTCAACAATGTCTAGATCTTTGTGAAGATTTTGTTCCTTAGCTGTAGGAGGACCTCCACGACATTGGCAAGCTTCCGGTAGTTAGACATCGTAGTAGCTTAAAAGAAGAAGACCAAAATTAAAAAGCATGAAGGGAAATATGAAAGGAACATAGCAATTGAAAGGAGAAAAGGAAAAAAAGAATAACACAAATACAGGTGAGCTCAAATATAACATCCATCTTTTTTCGATTTGAAGACTCCATAGAGAACATTGCATAAAGACCGCAATATTAACTTGAAGGAAACACATAATAAAGGAAACAAGACGGTCAATGCTATAGACAAAATTAATTTACCATAATGTTGTCCGCCAACAAGCTAACTATTGACGCCATGAATATATTGTCAGCCTCACTGAAAGCACGCTCCTCCTCTGGAGTAGACGGTTGAACAGGCTGATATTTAACAACAAAGTAGTAGTACATGGCAGTTAGACGTAAGATGCACCTGACATGACACCTTTTGTAGTTTGTGTCATCAAATATATTTGGTTTAAGTGTAGCAGCAAAGCCAACGGCAGAAAAATGCCTATCATGCATGTTTTTGGATTGTTAGATGTTTAACAAAATTTAGTCATATTTAAATCTAGGAAATAACAAAAGGTTTGCAATAAGCATGTGCATGTGTGATCTACTCGTTGAAACCATAATAACCGTATAAACAAGAAACAAAGCAACTAAAGTTGTAGTATAATTGAGGATCAAAATTAGACGAAGACGTGAGGGGCCAAGATAGACTTATACGCAGTCCTTTAATAAGCGTCGCTACGCTGCTCAGTTCCTACTCTTAGGTTACCGATATCAATATACCATGTGTATTATTTCCTCATAAGCCAACAAGCAAACTAAATTGAGCACAAACTTTACGCTTTTTTTTTGAGCAAGTAAAGTTTGAGCACAAACTTTTACTACGAAGGTTCTTTGTGGTCTGAAATTCAATACCCAGATCAGCCCAATAAGATTGGCAGAATATAGATACTAGCCTGCTAGGAGGCCAGGCCTGGATTATTCCGAACTGTTCGTTTGCTATCTCACGGGCCTGTCCAGGAACAGTTTATTTGGGCCAAGTGAAATGAAGACCAGAGTATCGGACTTGGACTTCTTTTAGGACAGGCAAATATTTTTCAGCCCTTCCACCTTGGCTGTGCATACAAATTTATTTATTTTTGTTGCTAAAAAACAAAAAAAATAATAAAAAAAGAAGTCATATTTACCATCCTTAGATATGACACAATATGCTAAATAACCATTTGTGTTTTTTGTATATTTCTGAGATGGTTTACATGTAAATCTATAGCTTTAGCTTGCATTTTGAAGCATGTTATTTGTATAGTGCTGCTAGCCTGCTACTGTTCGCATGACGGATTTTATATCACCGGATTTTCGTTGGAGGTTGGAGCTGATAGAACGAATTGTTTGTCTGAATATTTTTTGCATAGATACCATTGATTTTTTTTGTTGTTGTTGATTGATATCTTTGTATGGATATAATAAGCTGTATGTATAGACCTTTTGTAATTTATGCTACCCACAAGAAATTTATTTTTATGAAAAATTTAGACCCTTATCTCAATGCACGGATATAAAGCATGGGTATAGGAAGTCAAAACCACGCCTATTACCTACGGAGTACCAAAATACTCGGGGTACCCTGTACCTGTCAATATAAAAATTTAGCTATTTACTAGATCATTAGCTGAGGGAGGTAAGTAGATTTTTTCCCTATTTCTCTGGGCACGATGCTAGAAGAGGCAATCGCTGCTTGAGCATCCCTACCAGTTGTGCTAGAATCGCTAATGATTGTTTTTCATTGCTAGGTGTGGTATTGGTCCGATAGTGATATCATGAGTATATCATTGTCAGGTTAAAACCTAAACCGGCGGTGATCTATATACTCTTATAAAACTAAACCCATTAGATTATTTTTCTCTTCACGTGTCCACATCATTTTCCACTAAATACTCTTATAAAGCTAAATCCCACTAGATGATTTTTCTCTTCATGTAAGGTGTCCACGTCATTTTTTATTAAGTCCATGTTATCTCTTATTAATTACAAAAAAAATGTCGATGTCATCTCTATCATGTGGAATACTTTTAATATTTAATCTATTAACATACAAGTCATCTAGTACATATGTTATCTGTACATCATTTATTCCTCTATAACGTAATCAAATATTCTATTATTTTTTTCTTCTATTAGCTTACCGATTTTTTACCAGATCTGATACAATAAAATAACATGTAAGTCAAATTCATATATATACACAGTATACAAAATAGCATATAGTAATGCTATGTATATAACAGATTTATTTTAAGGAAAATTCCGCGACAACGCGCGGGGTACGCTTCTAGTACCATAAATGTCTCTGTCGGGTTATGTTTTAACTCAGCAGTGATACTCATGATACCACAGCCGGGTCATGCTTTAAACTGATAGTGACACTTGATATCACTGTTGGTTCATGTGACAATCCGGCAATGATACTTATAGATATTACTACCGGTTTTTTTAGGAGAACAGACTGAGGGGCTACCCCTACCGGAATTTTATTAAATAAAAGAGGATCAAAACATAATGTTCAAAAACAAAAAAAGTCACAAAAGAAAATAAAAAGGATTACACATAAACTTCTAGCCATTGATCGATATGTGGATGAAACTTTCTTCCTGAAAACCATCTTGCACCGCTGCACGGAAGGCGGAATGCTCCTGAAGATAACATCACTACCGATTAAAACTTTGATCCGACAATAATAGCATATAATTACCACCGGTTCGAAAAGCAGAAGTGATAGGCCACCCTATAAATACCGATTATTAATTCTTTACTGGACGTAATTTTGGCAGTGGTGGGTTCGAAAACCTTGTAGTTTGCCCATTCTGGAGTAGCGGATGCAGAACAAAGGTTAAGCCGAAGCTCGATTCACAACGCTGCTATATGGGAACATGGCGCGGGAAGTCTGGCGGGATTTGGCATGCTTGCCGTGGGTCTGACCAACGTTACAAGGATACACCCATCATGCACAATTTTAGAATACGAGTTGTTAGGGCATTCACAATGCAGAAACTATGATAGTTTCTATGTGTATTAATTATCCTGCTACCTAAGCATTTTGCTGATGTGATAAGCGATTTATTAAAGAGATAGTAGGAAATGGTTTTTTAATAAGAAATCATATCTACACGAGAACCAAGACATGAAGAGATATGATAGGTAGATGAGGGAAAGAGAGAGAAGATGTGTGATTGGACAAAAAATTATTCTATAAAAACTATCCATTGAAAACGTAGTTTCGTAGTGTCTGCATGCACAAAAATTATACATGGTTTGTAGCATTGGGAGTGTCCTTATTACTCTCTCCGTTTCAAATCATAAGTCATTCCAACTTTCTTGGAGAATCAAAATATTTCAAATTTGGCCAAAATTATAGAGAATAACAAAGATCTATAATATCAAATATGTATACTATCAAAATATGATTCATGAGGAATCTAATGATACTTAGTTGATGTCATAAAAGTTATTATATTATTATTACAGAACACATTAGCAGACCATAAAAAGAAATGGCAGGTGATGAATGAGAGGAGCAATTGTGCTACGTTCTACACATCTGCCTGGGGAAAAAATTAGATGATCGAGGACTATCCCCGCGCACGAGGCATCCATGAGTATCCACTGTGGATTCATGTCACGTGTCCATACATAATCATTTAACGTGTCCCCTCGTGATTATTCTGAATTTTTTGACACTAGTAGAGAAATGACCTTTCATCCTCTTCGATTTTGGACTTTAGTCTCGGTATTTTTTGCGTTCGGGAGTAAAGGAAGAATTAGTCCCGGTTAGAGCTACCAACAGGGACTAAAGGCCCCTGTCCTGGCACGCTTTCGCAGCAGGCCACCTTTAGTCCCAGTTGGTGTTACCAACCCGAACTAAAGGTCCTTCAACCTTTAGTTCCGGTTGGTATACCAACCAGAACTAAAGGGTGACCTTTTCGTCTCGATTGGGGTCACCAACCCGGATTAAAGGTCTCCCACCCGGGACTAAAGGTACCCCACAGGTTAATTCAAAAGGAGAGTGTCTATGACCCTGTCATATGTGGTGTACAGCTGAATTGGTAAGGAGTTTATGCGCGAGGAAAGAGGTCCTGGGTTCAAATCTCACATATCGCAAGAGAGGTCTCCCTACAATTTTATTTATTTTTCTCTTGAGAATGGACCTTTAGTCCCAGTTATGTGACCCGGGACTAAAGATTAGGACCTTTAGTCCCGAATTCATAGTCCCGGTTGGGAAAGCATGACTAAAGCCAGTTTCTTCTCTACTAGTGTGACATGCCACACGATACGATACGCTTCCTGTATGTTGTATATATATGCTCTGCTCTCGCTCTATTTCAGAACAAAGGGCAAGAGAGGCGTGGCCACGGCACCGCCAACAGGCGTTGGGCCCTGGGCGCCGTCAGACCAAAAACGTCACTGACGTCCAGGTCACTCGGCGCCACCCCATCCGGCAGCGACCAGCGGAGAAGTCGTCGTCGCCGGCGAACCTCGAGGGGCGGAACTCGTCGGCGTCCTCCCAGTGCCTCTCGTCGCGGCCCATGGCCCAGATGTTGATCCAGACGCGGGAGTTGCGCGGGACGACGTGCCCGCCCACGGCGCAGTCCTGGAGGCACTCGCGGAGGAGCAGCGGCAGCGGCGGGTGCAGGCGGAGCACCTCCTTGCAGATGCACCGGAGGTAGGGCAGCTTGTCGACGTCGCTCTCGTCCACCTTCCGGTGGAGACCCACGACACGGGCGAGCTCGTCCTGCGCGCGCTCCAGCTCGCCGGGGCTCCGGAGCAGCTCCACCATGCCCCACTCGAGCGTCGCCCCGACGTTCTCTGTACCGCCGAACATGATGTCCTGCATGCCATGTAGCCGATGACGGAATGGAACACGCGGCTGACAAATTAAGTAATAATACTCTGATCTAGCACTCACCATGATTAATCCTTTGATGTTTTCTCTGGTGAGCCGGAGATCCTTGAGCTCGACGCCGTCCTCCCTCGTGTCTCTCCCCGGTGTCTCGGCGAGGTAGGCGATCATGTCGTCCACCATGTCTGCGGCGGACACGTCGCCGTTCTCCCACCTGGCGACGTGCTCGTCAATGATGCGGTCGATGAACACGTCCAGGGCATGCCTCGCTCCTCTCGTCCTCCTGTTGATGCCGTTGAGGTCGAGGAAGCCTACGAACGGGACGAAGTCGGCGACGTTGAAGGCCAGGAATGTCTGGGAGAGCTCCCGAATGATGGCGACGAACTCCGCCTCGTCGTCCTGGCTCCGGGCCCCGAACGCGGCCCGGAGCGTCGTGTTGGTGGCGAACTTGAAGGCGAGCTCGCCGACGCTGGCGACGGCTCCCTCCTCCTGCTCCGCCAGCGACCTGACGAGGCCGTCCACCTCGGCGCGCACGGTGCGCCACGACTGGTCGCGCCCGCGGCTGAAGAGCTTGACGACGCAGAGCTTGCGCATCTGGCGCCAGAACGGCCCGTACCGCGCGAACGCCATGTCGGCGAGGTCGTACGAGACGTACGCCATGGCGGCGGTCACGGGCCGGTGCGAGAACACGCTGGCCTGCTCCTGCAGGATCTCTCGGGCAGTCTCCGGGGAGGATACCACGAAGACGTTGGCGAAGCCGATGGGGAGGTGCCGAGGTGGAAGAAGCCTCCGTGAACCTTGGCGAGCTTGGCCAGGCCGCGGTGAGTGAACTGGTCCATGGCCAACAGGTTGCCGATGACGGGCAACCCGGGAGGCCCCGGCGGAAATCCACGACCTCGACACCGCAGTCGCCGACCAGAATACCCAAGAAAGAACGACATCACCGCGACAAAAGCAGCAGCAATGCCAGTGAGGAGGAGGTAATAATAACCCTGAGCATGAGAGCACGCCATGGAGAAGACGAAAGTGCTGAGACGTTGCACTTGTTCTTGCATTGATTTTGATGCAAGAAATGAAGTAGTAGTATTTGGAATGTTTCCAGTACACACATGCATGGAGCGTGCATGGATGTGTTTATAAAAGGAAACACATCACGCGAAAACACGTAGATTCCTCCCACCAACCCCCATTATTTGATATGCACGCAAATAATAGTCTGTTGGTTTCGGCTAAAACGATCATGAATTATTACAGTTGACGAATGTATTTTTTGAAAAAAATACTGTTCTGACTTATAATACACGATCGTTTACGACCAAGCGACTGAATATGTACAATAGCTTTGGTAACATAAAACGGCTCTAATTAGTTCCATTAATTTTATTAGCAAGTGCATGATGTGCTTGAGAACACATTTGTCCATTAATTTTACTAGCAAGTGCATGATGTGCTTGAGTATATATCCAAATAATGCATGCCGACACATGCTTCACGAGATGTCGACATGATGACACGTGCAAATTAATAAAATGGTGGCAAACAGTAAAGAACAAAACAGCAGATCACACTGGGGGCCTGTTTGGATACGTCGTGATGCCATTGCTACGCGTGCTCGCACACTGCTCACGCTAGGCCACCGCCGTGCTCGCTCGATGCGCGCAGGACTGCTGCTGCTTGCACTCGACCTCCACGCCGGGCCGCCGCCACTGCGCTCGCTCGATGCGCACAGGACCGCTGCCGCTTGCACTCGACCTCCACATCGGGCCGCCGCCGCGCGCTCGCCTACTGCGGCGGGCCACCGCCAGGTGCATGCTCCAAGCCACCGCCCGGCGGGCCGCCGATTGCGCGCAATCACACAGTGCGCCGCCCTCGCTATCACCGAGTGCCTCCCGCGCCGACGGCCACGGGCCACCGGAAGTGGGGCTCGACCCCTCCAGGCTCCAGCCGACCAGCCCTCCTGGATCCGGATTTTGCTCGCAGCTTCGATTGGGTATGGGGAGATGCGGAAGGAAACGAGTGGAGGAGAGAGCCAGAGAGGGTTTCCGCGTGTATTTTTTTAATCGGGAGACTGATGCATTGCTGCATGCAATAGTACTAACGAGTACACAAAATTAGGGTTCCACAGAGACCTGGCACCCTACCCTAGCTGGCTATGTGTGCAAATAATATGGGAAAAAATTCAAACTGCAGAAGTGCAAATAAAATTGGACGGAGGGAGGGCTTGTTTAGTTTCTAAAAAGTTTATTAAAAAGTGCTGCAGTAGCCATCACATCGAATCTTGCGATACGTGCACGGAGCATTAAATGTAGACGAAAAAAAACTAATTGCACAGTTTGGTTGAAAATTGCGAAACAAACGTTTTGAGCCTAATTAATCCATGATTGAACACTAATTGTTAAATAAAAATGAAAGTGCCACAATAGCCAAATTCCTTAAATTCGCGAACTAAACACAGCCTCAAGTAACCCTTGTGATGTAACATGCGGCTCAGGCGCTCCTACGGTGGCGTCACCCCGCTTGGGAGCTCCTTTGGCGGTGATGAGTGGGTCGAGTGCTCCTGTAGTGGCACGTGGCCCGGCCGCTCCTCCGGCGGCCCCGTGTGAACCTGGAGCCCTTTCAACTGCCCCCCACGACCAGATCCATTGAGGAGGACGCGGGATTCGGCGACCATGACCAAATATGTCGAGGAGGATGACAACCACGGTGGTCTCCAATAGATCCAGGTGCTTCTAATACTCCTCTTCACCTCGACATTATGATCGCTCTTCTCATCCCCATCTCCCTTCTCTGCAAATCCGGTGGAGGCGGCCGATTGCGTATGATGAGGGATGAGCTACACTCCGCATACTTACAATGGTGACATGGCAGCATGGACGACGTGGTATGGGCTGCTGCGTATGATGAGGAAGGCAAATGTCTCAGCCTCTGTTATTTCCCGTTAACAGTGACAACTTCCTAGAGGAGGGTAAGTCGCCGCATCTAGAATCTTGATTCGCCCACCTCTAAAAAATTTTAATGCAGTAGTGTCCTTTGCCAACCTTCGTTGTTGTTCGATGTGGTTGTTCTCGTCCCAATATGTGATCGCTAGAGTGAGCCTTTTGGCACACCAGTCATTGAATAATATATAACAACTGGTTTGGGTCGATTAGATAGATTTAATCAGTTCTACTTAGTGTGTTTTTTTCCCTTTAACTTCCTGCACAAAATATAATTACTTTTGAATTTATTCTAAGTCATACTATTTTAAATTTAACGAGGCCTATAAAAAAATTAATTAACTTCTACAACACCAATAAGTAAAATATGAAAACTTATTTCATAATTAGTGAAATGATATTTTTTCCTACATTGCGATTTTTTTTTATCCCTGTATTATTAGTTTTGCAGGGATCGTGCTGTTTTGGGTAAGCCTTTGTTCTAACTCTTGTTTTCTCTCCGTGAAAAACGTGCTTAGACACGGTCATGAAAATAAACAACAATTTATAAAAGATATCACTTTTTCATGCCTTTCGTTTTCAATTAATTTGTACTTCTCCCATTATTGTTATGTTTCTAAGGGCAGCTCCAGCGTACTTGCTAAGGAGGTGCTAGCAGGAGAGAGAAAGAAGAAAAACAGGTGCATCACGTTGGAGCGCCGGTGCTATCTAGCACCGGCTGGCACCTGTGGCCAATTTGGGCACCCGGTGCAAGCAATAAAAAAAAAGGGGAGCGGAATGGGAGGAAAGGCCGGGAGGAGTCCACGAGTCCGCGGGAAGGAGACGGGTAGGTTGGAGAAAGTTCGGGACACACGATATTTTTATTTACTGTGGGTCCATCTTAGCATGTGCTAAGAAATTTACATGTTAGAGCAGTTTTGGTTAGCAAAGCACCGATTGAGGTGTCAATTCTTTGCACCCTCCTTCAGATTATACATTGGAGCTGCCCTAACATGACCTTGGTAACCAGCCATAGGAAAAAGGGAAATATAGGTTGATAATAATAATTAATGTAAGTGAAGTCACTGGACAGGCTTGAAGGACTTTTACTTAATATAAAAAATGAAACACACAAGCTATATCTTACAAAAAAATTCAGGATTTTATTGTAGGATTTCGGTATTTCGGATTTCATAATGGGTAGGCCTAGCGCCCGGACGTCTGGACGGGATGTCGCATCTGGACGCGTCTCCTACACCTGGGCTGCTCCAGCGTCCGCATCCCGCCCCCACGGCCCGCGTCCCGCATCTTGCCCCAGCACCCGCGCTCGCGTCGCATCACATGGACTCACGCCCCCGCGCCTCGGACGGGAAACCCTAGGTTGACCCACAGCTATGCCCCAGCAGCAGCGACAGCCACCGGCCGCGCTGTGCAACACCCCAAACTACTTTTGCAACGTCCAGATGAAAACCTTTGCAACATAGTCTAAAATAGATGAAACATTTAGAACATACGGTTGAAACACCATTGCACATGTGCAACATCCTGATCTACTTTTAAAACATCCACATGCAACACTTGCAACATGTAAAGAACACAGATGAAACACTTGAGACATGCGTCTGAAACACTTGCAACATACGTGCACAAAAAAATAGATGAAATTGAGGATAGACGCTTGCAATATATGTGTATAACCATTGCAACATATGCAACATCCTGAGCTACTTTTGCAACATCTGCATGAAATAATTGAAACATACATCTGAAATAACTGAAACACTTGAAAACATGGCTTGCAACATGTCTGAAAAGCATCCAGAAACACTTGAAACACAACATCGACGTGCGCCATGATCTACCTGGTGGGCAACTGCGGTGGCGCAGGCTTGCTGGATGGTGCGTGATTGCACGCCCCCGCCATGCCCACCGTTGACCGAGGGAGAGGAGATGCTGTCAGATCTGGGGAGGGCACCACCGGCCGGGTTAGGGGAGGGCCAGATCCTCCGGTGGGACGCAGGGAGGGCCGCGACCGCCATGGAGTGGAGGGAGGAGACGCCATGGAGGCCGCCGGACTTGAGGGAAGACGCACGTAGAGGAGGGGTGGCTGGATCCATGGAGGGGAGGGGAGGAGGCTTGCTCGAGCTGCCATGGAGTGGGGGGATGTAACACCCTCGGTGTTACACCCGAATCAATTTTTAAAACATGTCATGAGCATCATGATTATGTGGTAATGCATGTGATGAGGTGTGTAGATCAATTTCTGTAACTCAAAATGATCAATAAAAATGTTAAATGAAAATTGATTCGATAGCTCATGTATATCAAGTAGGGTTGAAAACCAATTTTTATCTAGCAAAAACACTATAGAACATGTATGTGACACTTAAATGAAGTTTGCAATATGAATTTTGTAGATGACAATGAAATGCTTGCTATTGAAAAATAATATTGCTTAGTAATATTTTTAATAGCTTAGAAATGCAATTTGAAATAGAGTTCAACTAAAAAAATTAGAGAAATTCCAAGCTTGTGTACAGCTGGACATTACTAAGTTTAGCAGTTTATTTAGAGAGATTGGGTTAGAGGGTGATGCGGTGTTTTAGCTCGGCTGAGCAGCCTCATGTATCAGTTTGATCGTGGTGAAGTCGGTTTCGGTTTAGAGGCAATGGTTTAGTGGTAGTTGCTGCTTTAAAAGCCGTGCACAGCACGTTCTCGGGCTAGTCCTCTGGGCTGGGCGGTCACCAGGCCGTGGGGGCGCTGTCGCGACGTTGGCGCGCTCTGCATGCGCATGCGCGCTGCCACGCTTGGCCGGCTTGGTCGCCCTGACCCGACCACGAGGAGCTGTCGTTGATGTGACTTGCCGGTGGAGCGGCACTGTCCCAACCCCGCGTGCTGCCACGCCGCCTCTGATTGCGCAAGACGTTCTACGGGCACGGCAGGCCCCGCGAGCGTGGAACGCGATGCCATGCTGGGCGAGCTTGGGTTCACGCGGTGCACAATTGAGCACGCGCTCTACACGTAGTGATGGAGGAAGGAGGAGCTCGTCATCGGTATGTATGTGGACGACTTGATCATCACCGGCACGCGTGTGGAGGACATCGATAGCTTCAAGCACGAGATGGCGGTTCATTTTCGAATGAGCGATCTCAGCGCGCTCTCCTACTACCTCGGCATCAAGGTGAGACAGACGAAGGAGGCGCTCATGCTCGGTCAGAGCGCGTACGCCTCAAAGATGTTGGAGCGGAGCGGCATGACTGGGTGCAAGACGTGCGTAACTACGATGGAGGAGCGGCTGAAGCTGACGAAGGCCAGTACCGCAGCGAAGGTAAATGCAACACTCTACCGGAGCATCGTCGGCGGTCTGCGCTACCTAGTCCACACGAGGCCGGACATTGCGTTCGCCGTGGGCTACGTCAGCCGCTTCATGAAGGATTCCCAAGAGGATCATTGGGCTACAGTGAAGTGGCTGGTGCGCTACGTCAAGGGGACGGTGGATCAGGTGATCGTCTTCCCCAAGGCCGGCAGGAGTAGGTTGTAGCTCACTGTGTTCAGCAATGTAGACATGGCAGGGGACATCGATGGACGGTGGAGCAACTTTGGCGTGTTCGTCTTCCTCGGGTCGGCTCCAATCTCATGGTTGTCGCTAAAACAGAAGGTGGTGTCACTGTCCACGTGCGAGGCAAAGTACGTGGCGTTGGCCACAGCGGCGTGCCAAGCTGTGTGGCTGCACCGGCTGCTGGGTGAGCTGACCGGTGTGGAAGCTCCCCCACCAGCACTGATGGTGGACAACCAGCCCGCCATCGCCCTCGCGAAGAATCCGGTTGTCCACGACCAGAGCAAGAACATCGACGTTAAGTTCCACTTCCTCAGGGACTGTGTCGATGGAGGGCAGATCGTCATCGAATTCGTCGAAATTGGTCGGCAACTCGCGGATGTCCTCAGAAAGCCGCTCGGCCGTCTTCGGTTCATGAAGCTGAAGAAGATGATCGGCATGGTGGAGGTTCTAGGGTTAGCAGCAGGATTAGGGGAAGAATTGTAAAGTAATCTGCTGCTCTCCCCTATACGCGCAGCAGGAGCAGGCGCCGAAAGGGCTCCCCTGCTACTGCACTGTAGCCACGGCAGGAGCAGGTGGCGAAAGGCACCCCTATCGCACTGTAGCCACAGCAGGGCATGCGCCAAAGTCAGCTTTGCTGTCACATCTAGTCACTGTAGCAGCATGATAGCCTGGCATGTCTGTGTACTAATATTAGATGTGTAGAGTTGTATATATAGCTTCTCACTGCAACTCAGTAAAGTGAGCGAGTTCAGTTTTGCTGTCTACTCTGCAGAGCTCCGACCAACGCTGGTGCTTGTGCTGTGTGTGTGCGCACTGTTCTTCCTCCCTTCTTCTATCTCTAGCTGTAGTGTGTGGTCGGCAACAACGGTGAGCGGTCGACTCATCCGTGCGGGAGATCTCAGGGGCCAACAGTTTTTGCTCCCCGAGAGACGTGGCTGTTGTTCGTTTGCTTCTGGATTTGCCAGGTTGTAAGCGCAAACAGAGTGTCAACACCCTTGCGCTGACTAGCCGGGAACACATGTTTGATGGAGGGAGGATCTCAGGGCCTATTTGGTAGAGTTCCACTCCTTAATTCTTGGCTCCAGCTCCTTGATTCTTTGATGGAATGATTCTAGTTGATTTTGGTGAATGAGTGGAGTGGTTTGCAGGTGAGAATTGATTCTAGAGTGATTATAGTGGGAGGTTGAATATGGAGTAGTGAGGAGTAGTTTTTTTAGCCCTCTCAGCTTCCAGTATATATAAGCGTAGATGTGATCCTTGTCTTGGAATAATTCTCACGGAGAAGCTATACCATGGAGCCAAACGGCCCCTCAGCCTTCACCCAACCGAGAAACCCCCTGAACCCGGGTGTAGACCCAATTTTTGGGTTGGGTTGCCAGCGAAGGGGATTTCTTATACTCAGCCCTAAAATTCGTCCTCATGAGGGTTTGAACTGAGCCGTAGGTGCTACCGAGGAGCGCCAACAACTAGGCTAGGGCCTCGTTTAGATTGAAGAAAATTTCAACCCGATGAATAGTAGCACTTTCGTTTTATTTGGTAAATATTGTCCAATCGTAGACCAACTAAGTTCAAAAGATTCATATCGTGATTTCTAACTAAACTGTGCAATTAGTTATTTTTTTTACCTACATTTAATGCTCCATGCAAGCGGTTAAAAATTGATGTGATGGAGAGAGAGTGAAAAAACTTGGAATTTGGGAGTAATCTAAACAAGGCCTAGACTCCCATTTGCAAGCGCCGTCCCTGTCATTTTCAGGTTTGGAATGCCAAGCCTCCCATGTTTGTCGGACAGGTAGATGTAGGCCAAGCCACTGCACACTTGCAGTAATTGACCCATCCTTTCCCACCCAAAGTAATTTTCAACATAAAACATCAATCTCCTTCGCCACCCTGGGTTTGGGAGTCATGTTTTCTGTAGACTAACTTGAATAAGTGCAAACATGGTTTTCTTAGTATCATACTTTATTTTTATATTGGGTTAGGTATGTTTGTGATGCAATTGCAAAAAATTATCAGTTGTCACTTAATAATTGTCACAAACTTCTACGTCTCCTCTTGGAATTGTGTTAGATATCTTAGGAATTCAAAAATTTTAAGTGTCAAGTGAATGCAATTGTACTGTATGGCTGTATCCTTTGCTGTCATATATTTAGCTCTCTACGTACTTATTTTGCTTCTAACTATTTCTTTGATTCAAGGATGGCCATCGTGTCAAAAAATATAGAGGCATGGGTTCTCTTCAAGCCATGACAAAGGGCAGTGATGCGAGATACCTTGGAGACACGCTTAAGCTTAAGGTTGCTCAAGGAGTTGTTGGAGCAGTTGCTGACAAGGGCTCGGTATTGAGGTTCATTCCTTATACGATGCAAGCTGTCAAGCAAGGATTCCAGGACTTGGGTGCATCCTCCTTGCAGTCAGCCCATGACCTTTTACGATCAGAATCGCTTCGACTAGAGGTATGTACGACATCAGTCATTAGATGCAATTGCAAGTGAAAAGCAAATTTTAATCTATCATGCATTCAGAGTTTGCTCTTAAAGGTTAAGGATTTTATTCTGAATTTGTGAACTGATTGTATGAGAAGGTCAAAATCTTTTGTTGATATAACTAGCATTGGTAGGCAAAAGAATACACCTTATCATCATTGAAATAAAAAAATGTACACCTCCTTTTCTAAAAAAACCATAGTGTCATTTCAATTTCGTTGTGTTTGTGGTCTAAATAGGGAACTCGGAGCTTTGGTTCACCTTTAACAGCATTTAATTAGTAACACTGCACTTCTTCCTGTATATATGCCACTCAAGTACAAATTCTGATAAATCATATTGTGGGACCATCTAAGGTATTTTTATCCATGTAACAGTGTAGAACTCCATGTACTAGAGTGATTCATGGGCATCTGTGTTAACTTTCTAAATAGATCCTTCTAGTTTAACGAATGGTTTAGTTGGAGCTGCCCTGTCCTCTCAGCCCAGCTAGCTCTATAAGTTAAAAAGGGAAAACCATTGGCAACACTTTTTTATCCCCCGGTTTCTCAGTAAAATCCATGATGCTATTTTCTTGCCCACATAGTTCAGACTGATATATATGCTGGCGTACATCCAAGCTCTGTGAACATATCTCTCTCTCAATTGAGATAACCATGCACATTGCCCAATGCTGACCGTATTTCATCTCTGACCTCTTCTACTTATCGACAAACTGCCATGAATTCAGGTAAGAACCGGTGCTGCCCAAGTCGAAGGAGGGATCCATGGTCTTGTTTCATATGAGAAGAAGGCATTCTAACTTCTGAGGCAGATCGAGTGAGGCTATATTGACCATGGACCAGGGCGGATGGCTGAAACAAACCAGCTTTCCGATTCAATTATGGTCTTCTCTGGAGTCCGCTGTAGCTCGTCTGAAACTCTGAATCCCTGTGTGTACAATTTCTGGTGATTCTGCTTTGCCTGCATGCAAGGCGCCAAGCAGGCCACCATTGTAACTTGCATTATGGTTTTATTTCACTGACTAAGTTCAGCATTCCAAACGAATTAACAATTGATGTGTCGGCGTGTGAAATAAATTGAGATGAATCTATTGATGGATGCTCATGCTCTGCCTCTCCATGTTTTGTGCTACGGCATATAAACTCATGGCCTTGTTGTAGCTGTGAATTATTACTCTCGTGACTCCGTCGCTCGTCATTAGCATTCTGCGGAGATGTGGTTCTTGTGCCTGCGTGTCCAATGCTGTAATCCGTTGTAATGGGTGACAACATGGGAACCGCCCCTGCCCCCTGCCACTGCTACATAAACGGATTTTTGCTGACACATAGGTTTTTTTTCACAGACGGCTCATAAAGAGCAGGTGCCAATAAAAACAGATATGTGGGCCTGTGATTATGAACTGCCAGTTTAGATACAACTACGCCAACGGTGGTGTTAAGTGAACCACCACAACACAGGCGGCTTACTTAACCCTTGTGCCAATGTAAATTGATTCTACACTAGTTGTTGCCTTAAGTTACCGCCAGTGTAAATCTAGTATTTTTTTACACTGGCGATTTTCTTAAGTGCACCGGCAGTGTAGACCGATTTACATAGATGCTACCGTTATGCCAACAACCGGTGTAAATAGGTTTACACTAGCCGATTGACGGTTCAAGTTTACGCCAATGGAATGTTACACTTCCACTAACCTTTCACACTAACAATTTGCAAAACTGCCTGTAAAGATGGAAAACCTACCGTCAGTAAAAACTTTTCCCACACTAGTGTGCCATGTAACAATATTTTGTCTCAATTGACAATCCTATATTCATATCCACCACCCGATGAACGGAACATTGACACAGAAAGTTATTTAAGTGCTTCTTTTTTTTCAAAATATAAGGTGTTTAATGAGTTTGGTTCTAATTTAAATACTTTTAACTTAATTTGGTTAAGCTCTCAAAAATTACGCCAACATCTACAACATCAAATTAGTTCTATTATTGATTCCACATTGAAACATATTTTAATAATAGTGCATTTATTTAGTATACAAAATACGAAGTACTGTAGTTGTAAATATATTTTTAACAACTTAGCTAATTACCCCCTCTGTCTCAAGATAGAAGGCACGATTTGACTTGGTGCTCTTCAAAATCATACTTTAACCTTTAATTTATACTATTATATATAATTTATAGCAACAACAAAAGTATCATTAGAAAGTATTTGTAAACACAAATCTAATATTACCACGAAAGGAAGACATTCTCTGCGCCCCCTTTTCGCCCTCTCTTTTGAAAGTTCATCATCAACTAGTGTCTTTTCGTCCTCTCTTTTAAAAGCTCATCATCAGCTAGTGTTTCATATTGTTGCAGCACAGGAGTACTACCTAAAATCAGGCAGGCAACAAATTCTGTATGATAAGGCCATGCCCAACGCTCCTACATGTCTTGTGGCTTCAAATCTACCCGTCGGGCACATTTGTCCAGCTCAACTCGATTGTATGCCTGTAGATGTATGCAATATATACAGCAGTGTCTCATGCACCAGAAATATCGACCTCTCTTTCCTTTTTTTTCATAGAGTTTTGCTAACTCAAAATCTTATATCTTCGGGCGCAAGTTCTGGTCTAACAAGATATTTTGTGGTTTAATATCAAAATGGACAATCTATGTTCTGCAGCCGGTCTACAGATAGTCGATACCTCGTGCTATTCCAACAATGATCTCATCCAACTTGAGCAAATGAAGTTGTTTTCTCTCAATAAAATCAACGATGCTCCAAATTTGTACAAATCTAAAGAGCCATTCTGCATCTACTCATATACCAGTAACAGTTGTGCGAAAGTATACTTCACCGGCCATCGAGGCTTGGAGCTACCCTGTTTTTTCACTGACCATCGAATCCTCCTGCCCTATTGTACTAAGGGGCAGAACTAGCATAAAATTTGAGTGAGCTACATGAAACAAGGTATATTGTAACACCTTAAAATTTACAAAATTTTAAAATAGGAGAAAATAATTTAATTATGTATTTTGTGAGCATTTAAATTTAGAAAAATGATAACTTTGTTAAAAATAAAATCAAATATAAGGTTTACATACATGTATGTGCATACATGCTGCTGCATAATTTATTTGTAATGCTTTGGTTTGATCAAAATTTGCAAAAGGATTTAAATTGGATTTGAAATTGTGTTGAGAAAATTAGAAAAGGTATTTTATTTTCTCTCTTCTCCCTCTCTTGGATCTGGCCCATCGGCCTGGTTCTCCCGCGTGGCCTAGTCGCCCACGCGGCCCAGTTTCCTCCCGCTTCCCCGCTACAGCCCAAGTCTCTGCAGGCGGCCCATTCCCTCTGCAGCAGGCCGGCCCAATAGCATCACCCGCGCCGCGCCGTTCTCTTCCCCGTGCGAGTCACTGACCAACTGGCCCCACGCGTCAGCGGCGCACTGTTCTTCTTCCTCGCGCGTGACCGAGCCGAATTCTCCGCCGCCGCCGACTCCGACTCCGTCGGCGCCACGCCTCGCTTTGCCGTGCCACCCAAGACTCCTCGGCCTTAAATAGCAGCCGACCCCGCCGCCTCTCTATTCTGTCTTAGAACTAGCAGCAGCCCTCGCCAAATCGCCAAGACGCAGCACGGCCAAACCCTAGCCGCCGACGAGCCGCCCGCTACGCCATGCACTGCGCCGCCCTCCGTCGCTCCGCGCCTCAGTAAGCTACCTAGCCGAGCTCTCCGTTCTTTCTTCTATCTTCCGGTGCCTTTGGTTTGTCCCGCCATAGTCCTTAGGCTAAGTTTCGTGTGCACCGCCGTGCCCGGCCATGGCGCCGTCGCCGCTCCGCTCGTCGAAGACGGCCATTCCCTCCCGATCTGTTTTGGGCCGTTCGATCTTAATCCAACGGTCCAGATTTCATGATACCGATTTGGCTAGCAAAATTGCAAAAGAACCCTCGCAAGATTCTAAGTTCAAACCCACGGTCCTTGACGTATTCCCCAGAATACGTTTTCTGTTTTTGAAAACATATTTTCTTTCGGATTAGATTCAAAATACGCTTTCTTCTTCTGAAAATGTAGTTTTATCGGTTAGATCTAAAATACGTTTTCACCTATTTATAGTTTTGCCACTAATATCGTTTTAGCCCTAAAATCTTTGTTTTAACTCTGATTTGATCCGTTCAAGTTGCGTTAGGTTTATAATTGCGTAATCTACATGTTCATACTACTGTTATGTAGGTTTTCAACTTTTAAAATTCGAGGTTAGATTTAATCTATTATTTTAATAAAGAAAATCTTGTTTAATTCATAACTTATTCGTTTTAGCCTCTACTCTTATGTGTATAGCAATGATGGAGTTGTGCCATTCGACAGGGGGTTCCTATATATGTTTGTCGAGTGAACCTAATGGCCCTAACTTGTTAGACGAACCTTTGAAAGACTTTATAGTGAACCCTGCCTGCTCACCTTGGAAGTGTTTTGAGAGTTATAAACTCGGGCATATGGGTATCACGACTCACAGTGAAAGTGTACAACCTCTGCAGAGTGTAAAACTAGTATATCAGCCGTGCTCATGGTCACGAGCGGCGTTAGAACCCTTATGGAATAGATGATCACTATTAAGTAATTGTTTTTGCTATATATTACTCATGTTTACATTGATCATGTGTTTTACTTTGGGATTAAAACAACTTATTGCTACTCTTATGCTAAAATTATGACAACTAAAAGCTAAATGCTATTAAACCTGTGTCAAGCCGTTGAGCCTCATGAACCCCATGTCACACTTGTTGAGTACGAGATGTACTTTCGCTTGTTTATTTTTATTATTTGGATAAAAATCCTGGATCGATAACAGATTGCAATGATAATGACGGCTTTCCTGAGGATTACTAGACTTGTGGTCAACTAGTTGACGTCCCTGTGCTATGGAGCTTCCGCAAGAGAGTTATCTTTATACTTCCGCTGCATTTATGTGAAGACTATGTCTTATTATTAGCGACGTAATAAACACTTGTGATGATACTATCTATAATTTATCGGCTTATGTGTGTGACTGATCTCTGGGTGCACATAAGATTATGCATCCCATTTTATCCTTAAAATCGGGTGTGACATATGTTTTCTTTGGAAACCCAGATTTTGAGTGGGGGCACATGCCCCCGCTCCTTGTGTACTAGGTCAGCCCCTAGTTGTACTGGCGCATGTCGAGCAACTCGCCCGTCTAGATAATGTAGCCAATGCTCGAGGTAGCATACTCTCAGCATTGGTTGACTGAGAGTCCACCGTATGCCTTGGCCTCAGGCAATTTCATCCCCTTGAAACGACGGAATGCGTCGGCGCTTTGGTTTGTAGTGCATACAAGTGCTTTCTAACCGACATAGCCGTTTGAAAAGAATTGTAGCCTGCAGTTGCGTAGTGATCGAGGCAATCCCGGAAGACAGCTGCACATCAGAGTTTTGCTCGTAACGCAGTATCCATAGACGCCATAGTAGGCGTAGGCATCGCAGGGGTTTGATGGGTAATAAGAGAACATTATTCATTTTTTGTTTATCCAGATTAGTCTTTTATCCGCGAGGACCTGTCCAACACTAAGCGGGATAGAATGAAGTGATTTAAATAGAGTAACTGAAGTAGGTTCGTCTGGACCCAGTACACAAGGAAAATATGCCTTCTTTCGTGTAGCTGTAGGGTCTCATCAGTAAAAGGTCGTCACTTAAATTTTGTGCTAGTTTTTTATTATTATGCTAATTATTGGTAAAAGATACTGATATTATGCTAATTATTGGTAAAAGATACTAAAGTTTGAATTTTAAAATACAT